AACTGCACAGTCCACTAGCCACAAGTGGCTATTAAAATTAAAATGAAGGGGCCCAGCAGTTGGCATAATGGCTATGTCACTGGACTCCTATGTAGTCAACCATGGTTCGAGTCCCAGACCCAGTGGCTTAAACTCAACGGCGGGCACATGTGCATGCATGCTCAAGATACCTAGAAGAGAATGGAGGAGAAGGGGTTGCGGCATGGCCAGCCCCCCTGGGGGGTGATTCTTGCTTTTTGTCTCTCTGTCTCTCTCTGTCTTTCTGGCAAGCACATGCACCCTATAGCAAAAACCTCTCAAAAATAATTAAAATTAATTAAATTGAATTATATTTCAATATTAAAATTTTGATTGAATATTAATACTTAGTAATCACATATGAATAGTGCAAATACATATCGTTTTATTCTTGCAGAAAATCTTCCAGGTAGTGCTGGATTAAAGTCACTCATATTGGAAGCATACACATACCACTTGGAGAAACACAATGTGATTGCATTGGAATGGGCAAGAGAGAAAAAAATGAGAGAAGATGTAAAAGAGGAATGGAATGAATGGCATAGATAAAATATTTGTAAGATTGTTTTCAGAGAGGCACTCCCACAATGGGGTCTGAGCACCCCACATAGTCTGGATGATTTTGTCTGACTGACATATTGTCCATCCCCTGTAAATGAGCATTCTCAGTAGCTAGTCATATAGGCAACTGCAACAAGTAGATTAAAGCAACCACAGGGAGACAGCTTCGTAACTACGTGCTTCTTGAAGCGAGGAGGACTGGCTGGTGTGCTGCTGACTGAGGTATTCTTGATTCCCTCAAAAAGTGCTTCACGGGAACCAGCAGTTAGCATAATGGCTATGTCGCTGGACTCCCACGTAGTTGACTGCGGTTTGCTTCTCGGACCCGGTGGCTTAAAACTCACGCAAGGTGCGTGTGTGTGCGTGCCCAAGATCCTGAGAGGAGAATGGAGGAGAAGGGATTGCGATGTGGCCATTCCCACTAGGGGGTGATGTCTCACTTTCTGTCTCTCTGTCTCTGTCTGTCTGGTGAGCGCATGCACCCTATAGCAAAAACCTCTCCAAAAAAAAAAAGTGCTTCCCCATTGGCCCTGAACACTGCATGTACAGGTACCATCTGGCTCTCTGTGTGACACCTGTGGGATTTAAGGATAAGAAAAAGCAAATCAAATATTCTGATACAGGTATCTTGCTTGCCTTGAGGAATAAAGTTGTCTCATAAGAGTCTCGAGTTTGTGGCAACATCCTGGAAAGGATAACAATTTAACTCATTAGTTCGTGTAGTAGTGAGATATATTCTCCACACCTCCACTCCCGATTCTCATTCTCTGGTTACTCCAAGATGAATCTGCATACTCATGTACAAGCATTTTGCAAATGTAATTAGAATTACAAACCTCAAGTAAGCATGTTACCTGGATCATGCTGATGAACTCATTCTAATCATTTAAAAACAGAAACAGTTTTCCAGTTGGAATCTGAAAATATAGAAGAAGCTTAAAGCAGGACAGATAAAAAGGGCATCAGAGAGATTTGAACAGTGAGAAGGATTTAGTCATTATATGGCCTGTGGTCACTGAGAACAACTACCAATCAATGAGACCAAAGGAATGGAGAGTTTAGTCCGACAGTTCTATGGAACTGAATTTTGCTAACAACCAGAAGACTCTTGAAAGATTTCTGCCCCAGTACCTCTCATGGGAATATAGCACCGCTGATGCCCCAGCTTTCGTTCAGTGAGGCTGGTATTAGTCTTTTAACACACAGAACTTTGACATATTAAATAGGCACTATTGAGACTAGTTGTTGGTTTAATGGCTATGTCATTGGACTCCTATGTAGTCAGCCGAGGTTTGAGTCCCGGAACTTGGTGGCTTAAACTCATACTGGGCGTGTGTGTGTGTGCATGCCCAAGATCCCGAGAGGAGAATGGAGGAGAAGGGTTTGTGGCATGACCATCCCCCCTGGGGGTGATTTCTCACTTTTTTTCTCTTTGTCTTTCTGGGGAGTGCACTTGCCCTATACCAAAAACCTCTCAAAAAAATTGAAAAAAAAATAAAGTAAGCACTATTTTAAACCTCTTCATGAGTGGTAATATTTTGAGGAATCAACAGAAAATTATTATATCTCTTAAATAAAATGAATATTCAAGTTCCTCACAGTTTTTGATAAAAAAGGCAAAATTCACTGAAGGTCTTAAAAAAACAGCAATAACTGGGGGCCCAGCACTTGGTGTAGTGGAAGCTCTACTGGATTCCCACATGGCCAACCATGGTTTCAAAATCCACATGAAGTGCATGCCCATAATCTCTGGAGAAGAATGGATATGGGCTAGTGGCATGAGCATCCCTCCTAGGGGGGTGATTTCGCACTTTGTCTCCCCCTGTCTCTGTCTTTCACACTCTCTTTGATGAGCAAATCTACCCTAAAGCAAAAACCTCTTTATAAAAAAAGAACACAGCAATAAATAAACACCCCCCATAACCAATTATATAAATAGGGTCATTTCATTGTTTAAATCCCTGGTATGAAATCATATATTCTTGTGTATAGTGATCCTGACAAAACACTGAAGATGTAAAGATTTTATTGATATTTTTCTTTAAATTGACTGATATAATTAATACAATATAACAATTTCTAGTAAGAATAATTTTAATGTACATTTTCAAAAAGAAGCAGGTGAAAAAAAAACAGTGAATTAGGAGGCAAATTCAGTGAGGCATCATAAAAATATACTGTGTAGGGGCTAGCAGGTGGTGTAGGATTAAGGTGTTGAATCTCAGACCCAGAAGCTTGAAAATCATGCCCAAAATCCCAAAAAGGGAGTGGAGAAAGGATTGAAATGAGCCTTTCCCCATGGAGAGGTGATTTTTTACATTCTTGCCCCTCCTCATCTCCATCTCTGTCTCTCTCCTGTGAATGCACAGCCATATATATATATATATATATATATATATATATATAGTTTAGTTGGGGCATTATAATCAGTAAACTGATTATCCTCAGATCCCTGGGAAGCAGTGTATTATACTATAAATGTTAGATTCAAATACAATAATTTATACTCAGATTAATTAAACTGACTGAAAAGGAAATATTCTAAGTAATTGACAGCAAGAATTTAGACCAAATGGAATTTACAAATACTGCTGGCTGGACTATAAATTCATGCAGTCACTTTAGAAAAATGTTTGGAAACATCTATTAATAGTAAAGTTGAGCATATACCTTTCTTGTAATCTAGTAATTCTCTTCCTATGAATATATGTATGGAAAGCACACACATGTGAAGGTATGTCCTGTCCATTCATATTAACACACTTTACAATTAACATTTACTACATACTCAGATAGAAAACTAATTCCAACACTTGGATGAATCAGTAAATTATGACTTATTAACAATTCTCTGCCCCAGTGAGAATGTCCTCTTAGCACATTAAACAATACATAAATATTTTAAATGTGCTGTTGATTAAAATAAAAATAAGCTAAACACAGAAAAAAATGTGCACTCTATGATTTTATCCATGTAAATTGCATAAAAAGACAAAATGCTCTATGCCATTATCCTTAGGATTAGTGACTGAAAAAAATGAACAAGGGAAGCCTGTAGGGTGATGATAAAGCTCTATTTTCTGAAATGGGTACTGGTTACATATGTGTGGTCAGTCTATGAAAGTTCATTTAACCATGAATTTACAATTTATGTTCTTTTCTTTAGGCATATTACATCTAAGTAAAAGATTAAAAAATATATGATGTAGAATTTATGACAAAGTAGCGCATTAAATATAATAACAATAAGAGTTGAAAAAAGTAAGAGTGGAAATATTTGTTTTTGTGAAAGAGTATGTAAGACCTGGTATATGATAAATTTGGGATATTATGAGAAAGATCAAGTGTGCCACTATGAGCAAATTATCTTCCAAGAAAAGTAGGTTAATCTAACAACATGTGATTGATAGTCAAAAACATGCCACATTTAGGAGTAAAGGGGATTTCTAATAGTTACTTAGGGGCATATTTGGAGGTAGGATTAGGAGAGTACAGGAAAGTAGTTGGTTATAAAGATATCTGTACATTTTTTTACATGTAGGTAAATGCGCAATATCTAAAATTGGAAGACCTTTCATATCCACTGTGCGGTTCTTAATTATGTATTGGTCTACTGTTTTTACTAAATAATTTTAGAAGATATCATACTTAAAACAATGCATTATAAGTAAGTCTTTCTCTAAATTCTTTCTTTCAGCCACTCAAAGTTAGTAAGTCTTTCTCTAAATTCTTTTTTTCAGTCACTCAAAGCTTCTTTTGCGTGTGTGTGTAAAGATTTTTTTTTTTCCCATACAGTGCTTGTGGTCACAAACAAGAGAGACAGAGAAGGAAAGTGAGAAATCGCTCCTCATGGTGAACAACCACACTGAAAGAATATCCATTCTTCTTTTGGGATCAAGCCCCCTGCATGATTTTCAAGCCTCTAGGTTTGGGACTTAAACTACAGTCGGCTATGAGTCCAGCACCTTATTCACCATAGTGCCTGCTGGTCCATACTCAATACTTCTTAGAGGAAGTTACCTCTACCCATTTATTATATATCAGCTCATACAAACTTTACCCATATACAGATGTGTTCATAAATATTCAACACAAATAGCATATTAGACACACTTGTGTGCACTTTGCTTTATTTATTTAATAATGTATTTTAGAGATAATTTCCTATGTAAATGCATAAAACTTATTTATTCTTTTTAACAGCTACAAAGAGCTCCATGAATGGAAAAGGAACGTTTAGGTCATATCTAATTTTGCAATGTTAAGCAATACAAACATGAATATACATATATATAGAAAAAAATTTCCTGTCTCAGTATTTATTTGTAAGAAAAACTCCTTTGAGTAGTGATGATTCAGAAGCTTATAGCCCTACTGTATATGTAAAATCTTTATAATGAAGAAACCAAATTACAGCATACCTTTGAGTAGAACATCTTAAAGTTTATTTCTTCCATGAGCAAGAGAAATGAAGAAGGAGAGAGAATATCGTCAACAGGATCTTGACTACACACTTCACTCCAGCCTTGTGCCAGCTCTAGATTATGGAAGAGTGCATGCCCACTATACTCAGGAAGCTCTTAAGTCTTGAACCAGAAACCTTTCCATATGAGATTGCTTTGCAGAGTGACGTTTTACCATTGCATTGCCATCTGGCCTTGTAAGGAGAACTTAGGCTGAAGAGTATATATTAATTCCTACACAACAGTGATAGCACAGGTGGCAGAGTGCAACTGCACAGACCTGGAGTCATAGAGGGAGCCTAGGGTTTGGATTCTGGGTCAACCTGCCCGTCTTCCTGGGTAGAAGGTGTGGAGCAGGGAGGGTCACAGTGTAGCTAGACCCTGGTCTCCCTCTCTGGCTCTTTTCCTTTCTCTCTCATGAAAGAAACAAATGTAAACAAGAAAACGAGTAGACATAAATTATTTTAATCATACAATACTCTTAAACTAAATATTATAGTAGTTCATAACTTAGGCCCAGCAGCGCTTTGCCAGTTAGCTGGCTCTTCATCTACAAACCCAAACCACCTTCTTGACATAGTGTTTCCCAATTTTTAAAGTGTCAATATCCCCCCCTCTAGCATATTTTAAACTACTAATGATTTGATAATATACTCTTAAATTTTTGGAACATTCACTATATGACTCCGGAGAGCTTGAGCCTGATACCACATAGCACTTCAGTCAGTCATCTGGATCTATATCAGCTATATGATAATTAACTGGAGTACTTTGGTTATTTAATCCTGTAGTCATAGTGTGATTATCTTTAATGTGTGGCTCTATCCAAGGAGACTTCAAACATTTGTGAAAAAATGAGAATGAAGTGTGATTTTATTTTAGCACATGAATGTTTAATATTCATTTATAGTTTTTCATAATACTCACTTTCCAAGAACTTTTTGAAGGTCTCACCTTCACAGAACTGCACTAAGGATTACATGAATGTGAAACATCAGTTTAATGTTCAGCTCAATAGAATAACCACATTGCAACTAATTCAAGAAACAATTCCACAGACATTTTAAGTTACATGCTACCATTTACAATTAATGAATACATTTACCTTAGTTGACATTCTGCTATTACTATGCCCACACATATCTTGAAATGTTTGTGTTTCCTGGTTGCCTTTGCATTAATATTTTCTTCATCTCCTTCATATTTAACCATTCTTATACGTGGTCTTGCATATATTCTCCTTTTAAGATTCACCTTTCAAATTGATATTCATTAAATTAAATCTGCTTTTTTAAAAAAATTGCTATATATAGAGAGAAAGACAAAGAGACAGAAAGGGAGAGAGTGAAAGAAAATGAGAAAGCACCCCTCAATGAGGATGACCACGCCACCATCCTTTCTCTTCCATTCTCTTCATGGGTTTTTGGGCTTTCACACACACACTTCCCACATGTTTTCCTAGCCACAGGGTTGAGGACAACAGCAATATGGGATCCAGTCAATTTGATCACTACACTGGCTTGCCCTTATTAAATCTTCTTTAGACTTCTTTTCTCCTCACTCTATGTTGACACGAAGAGTAATCTTATCTAAACCTATGACTTCAGCTACACCAAGTGATTATGACTCTTAATATTATAGAATCAGGTAATGTTTCTCTAAAAAAGTTCTTAATTTGGCAAACATTTTGTAGCAACCAAAAATAGAAAGCCAATTAGAAAAATTATGGAGGTCGGCCAGTGAATTGGTGATGACGGTAGCTGGATCCCACTCAGTCAACAACACAATTCGCGTTCCAGATCAGATCATGTGACTTAAAAAACAGACTCAGTGCATTTCCATGCATGCCCAAAAATCCCAAAAGGAGAAATGCACAGAACTGCACAAAGGTTTGCACTAACTACACTCTGTGGAGGAAGCTTTCATAATCTGTCTCTCTCTGATTCTTCTGGTAAGCAAGGTAATGTATATATATACATACACATACATATATGTGTGTGTGTGTGTGTGTCTGTGTCTGTGTGTGCCATAGACACACAGACACAGACACACACACACACACACACACACACAGACAATTGGGCAAAATAATATTTTTATGATATGACAAGAGCCAAGACTCCTGCGTATGGAGTTACAGGTAAATGAGATATGAGATAGCCTATCAAACCAGCTATTTCCTAGCTTCCTTCTCTGATTCTGACTCCTCCATTGTTTCAATCCCAAATCTACTCTTTTCTTTGTGATTGTCAAAAGATGGATGGATTTCCCAGAGAGAGATAGAGTGGGTGGGGAGGAGGCATCCTCCACAATGGAGCATGGTTATGCTACAGTCCCTTAGTCCCTTCTCCATTTCTCTATCTTGTCAGACTTTCAGGCACACAGGCACACATTGGGCATGGTTTTCAAACTGCTAGTACTGGCCATGTGGCATCCAGTTCCCTTAATCTCTAAGGCTAAGAGGCTGACCCGAATATTTAATTTTCTGTTTGAAATTCTTCTCTGACTTCCTTAGACAGTCTTAGTCCTATGCATTTATTATAGCTGGTGGAAACATTTAATTAATTTTATAAGGTTATATTTGTTTATTCATATTTATGTCTGTCCTTACCTCTCCATTAAGTTGCAGATTCCTTGAAGGCTAGAACTTCACCTTTATTTTTGTATATTTGAAGTCTAGCATAGGAAGAGCTGAGGCAGAAATACTCAATAAATGTAATTTAAATTGAATTCAACTGAAAAGTTTAATTTAATGTTTTAGAGAGAAACCAAGCATAAAATAGGTGATCAAATGAAATAACCTTAAATAACCTTAACTATGAAATGTAGAAAAATGATTATCTGATAGCAGAATTTTGGATTTGAAATCATTTTTAATGAAGTATACTTTCTGCTATGGAAATATATAGCAAGCCAGTGCTTAGAAAAAGGGATACAAGAAGGCTAAGCTTATACAGGTGATAATTTTTTTTTCATGCCAATCAAAGCCATCTTCATGTATACATTTCACTCAGACAAAAGGTGAATAGAGTGGCCTAGAATGGTGAGTATATACCCCATCCAACAAATACATTGAGAAAGTGCAACATTATTTTATTTCAACAGAGGGAGACAAAATAAATCAGCTTAAAAATGATGTATTGGGAGATGAATTAATAGAATATAGTAAGCATTTTAGGAGTAAAGGCAACTTTAGTATATAATTTTTTAAACAGGAATAAATTTAGCTTTCTCATAATAATACTTAACACACCTAGTTGGGTCAACATAAACCAATGTATATTTGTACAAAGAACACACAATAATCCCAGAATATACCTGATAATATAATTATCGTTAAGAAGTAAAATTAGATTTAACGTACATAAATAGAATATCCATTTCTTTCATCTATGTGTTTCTTATGTTTTCTTCTTGTTATTCTTTTTTGCCAAAGAGGCAGTGGATATTTGTTAGACAGGAATGCACAAAGAATTGTACAGTCAACCAAAAGTCAGGCTCTAACAAGGACACATTTTCCCAGTTTACTAAGAAATATTTCACATGAAGCAGCACCAAAATCATTGCTCATGTCAAGAAACATTGCATCTATCCCTTCCCCTTGATTGATCAAGTTTAGATTAGTTTGATAGAACTTGTACTTTACAAAGCTATTGCTGTTATTAACTAATTCCAGGGGTAAATTACCTCTATAAAACAGACCAGAGTAATTCCCCTGTTGACTGGCCAGGAGGCAAACTTGCTGGCAAAAGCAGACAAGTACTATTGCCTCCACCCAAGAAAATTACAAAAAGTGCCAGTTATTCTCCAGGTCACTAAGCAAATGAACAATCACTCTCAGTTTTAATCTTGCCCTTCAGAGTAACCTTTTCTTTTCCAGGTGCTGGTAAATTGATTTTGTAACACATCTTTTTTTTATTATTTTTTGAGTAAAAGATTTAAATTAAGGGACGAGCAATTTCAAGGGTTATATAGTTTCTCTTTTTAAAGTGTGTGCACAACATTGTCTCTGGACCAAAGTATTTAGAATATTTCTAAAAATATATTTTAAGCAAGGAATATGTTATACAATAGTCACATATTATGATTGTTTTCTGTGAAATCAATTTTAATCCATTTTATGTTATTTTAGTTATTTGTCCATACTTTCTTGAAATACTTTTTCATATTACAGAAATGGTTTCTGTTCAGCATATCATCTGAATAATTTTATACTTAGTAAGTAGAAAAGAATTGTTATCTTTGGAAAGAAACATGAGTTAACCTGGTCTAACAAAGAAATGAACCCCCTAGTTTCCTAGTGTAAACGGACCCCTCTTACCAAAGACAGGTCAACAAGATAGAAACAAATATAAATTTATTAACATGAGTATTTCATGTATACATGGAAGAACCCAGGAAATGAATACTTCTCCAAAATGGGCTTTACAGTACGGTTTACATAGGATTTTCAACAAAGGACAGAAGATTTTTTAAAAAGTGACAGGACAAAGTAAAAGGACTTTCAGTCTTTAGGGGACAGCAACTTGGAGAAAGGCAAATAAACAGTAGATAAAGGGTAGCAGTAAAGCTTTTTAATCTATAATATATTCCTATTTCAGAAGGGAAAATAAGAAAGAAAAAAAAAGAGTAATAGGTCTCAACCAAATCTAAAACCCAAGAGTAGCAAACCACATTAAATCTTAGGGTGAAGAATAATCTATGTTCCTCGCAGACACAGTCTCTGCTTCTAGACACATTGAGGGGGGAGCTGGGTCAACAAGGTAATTCAGATTAAATAATATGAATGATTTAATCTCCCCAAATTTTCTAAGTCAGATCCCTGGATTTTTAAAAGAATAACTACTTTCTTGCAGCAGATAATTTAATTAGCATTAGAAGATCGCATCTTGGTACTTCACATGTGATTTCCTGAAATAAGTGGTTTGAGCAGATCAAAAGTTGAGAGCCTTTATAGTGAAAGGAGGAATGAATGACGGGTGAGGGAACTGAATTTTTTTTTTTTTTTGGAGAGATTTTCACTGTAGGGCGCGTGCGCTCGCCAGACAGACAGAGAGAGACATAGAGAC